GGGGGGGGGGGGGCGCAGCATTCTCGGCAGAAGAATCAGTATTTCCGAAGGCACAGATGGGAGTGACGGCAGGGTTTGGTGAACGTCGGAACTACCAGCAGTGCGGTGCGGTAGAAGTTTAAACAGGAGGGTGAGAAATGGGAAAGTGTGCCAGCGAGAGCAACAGACAGGGGCAGGGCGCAGGGGAATTCCAGGGAAGGCCTTGGGCTTCCTCCCGAGGGTGACGCAGAAGCCCGGCAGGTGTCAAGCAACGAAATGACACACTCGGGTGGTGTTTTAGAAAGATCACTGAGGGCCGTGAGGCGGACGAGCTTGTCAGGAGGGACTGGAGTCCGCGAGATCAGCAAGAGCACCTCACAGCCACAGAAAAGATCAAGGTCAGCGGCAAGGAGAGAGGCTGGGCCGAATAAAAACTAAGGCGGGAGAGCGGAACAGGCTTGGGGACGCCTGGGCATGGGTGGCCACGGGGAGGACAGAGCCGGCGATGTGTAAATTCTTACCATGGTGAGCAGAGGGAATTCGGGTAAAGTGTTTTTTTCCCTTTTGGAGAAGGAGGAGAAATTTTAATCTTTGACACGTGGAGTTTGGGGCGTACACGGAGTATACACGTTGAAATGTCAGTCTAGATCGCACAGGGGTCTGAATGAGAGAAAAGCATCAGTGTCAGCAGCGCCGCCGAGCACGAGGGGACGAGAGGACCCAGGCAGACGGAGAAAGTGAGGAGAGCGGAGGGCAGAGAAGGGCTTCTGGAAAAGAGCAGTATTTCACAGGATGGCGGGAGGCTCGGCCGTTACAAAGACCGATGAAAAAGTCAGAGGGCTAGAGAGTCAGACACCCTAGGAGCCAAGGGAGCGGAGTCCCCAGAAGCCGCGAGGAGTCCTCACCGCGGCCGAAGGCGGCAGACAGAGGCCCACGAAGCGGGGAATAAACGACGTCCGTGTGATTGAACAACGAGGCCGCACGTATGCAGGCCGGTTAGACGCCCTCGGCTGCAGACAGCTGAAGCCTCTCCGGTTGCTTTGAGCACAAGATATTTATCACACAGCATTAGATGGGGCACACAATCCCCAGGGGGCCAGAGACACAGGGCTGGAGGTCATTCCTCCAGGAACAGCAGCGGTATCCAGGACAAACACCCACCCTCACGGGAGGGCTGGTACAGGACAAAGCCCACTGCCAGTCACCTGGGACCGGGTACGGAACCTTCCCCAGAGCTGCTCCCGGTGACGAAATTCCTCAGCCACTGCCTGCAAGACGAGCCCCCCCCAGGGCAGCCTCGCGCCAGCTCCAGCTCGCCCGCGGCCACCTAGCTGAACGCGCGACCGCGGACTTCCCAAAGCTGTCACCCCTGCACAGCACGCGATGAAGGTGGAGTCAAAACAAGCAAGAATAGTCTTTATTCCTTGGAAACACACTTGTAAAAATGTATCAATAAGATTAAGAGCTTCAGAACACATTTATTTGGACGCAGCACATACACGGAGCAGCGTCAGGACAGCTGCTAAAATGGCATCTACCTGTAAACAAACATCTTCAGGGGAGTTTATAAGACACAGATTCAACTGTGTAGGGCACACAGCTGACTCCCTCCTTCTGGAGAGATTTTTGTGGTAACCAAAAAAAGATCAGAGTCAATACATTTTTTTAAAGGCTTGAAATGGGCCGAATTACAATTACATTTATAAAAATGGCATGGGAATTGACTTCACAAAAATAGTAACGAAAAAGATCTCCGGCCTATCTATTAAGAGAAACAATGTTTGACCCGTGGCTTGAAATGGGGGGAGGGGGGAATAAATATTTTGGTCCGAGTTCTACCCTAAAAGACAACAAATTAATTTCTGGTTCTACAAAAGGACTGTGCAACACCCCTCCTACCCTTGTCTACAGAATGCTTTGGCACAACTTCGTTAAAATCTTGTCTGCTTTAATCTAAGCCCTATGCGTCTCCGATTGCACGTTGCTTTTTAAAAGAGTCAAGTCTAGGGTACAAACCAACCCTCGAGTTCTACAAATTCCGACAGTGTACATCCATAATCATGACTTCTGAATCACGCCGGTGAGCAGCACCAATCATTAAGACATTAAAAAATTATTCTTGTACTTGAGCAGCAAACCCTATCAAAACAGATGCTATGCAATTTATGATTAGTCAAACCTCTAAAATTCAAAGTGGCTAAACTGCCTTAAGATCTGAAACTCAGAGTCTCTCTGCATTATATAACACCTAACCAGTTAAGGCACTTTATTTAGCTCCTGGATGGGGTAACCTCTGTGAGAGAAGGGGATACTGCCGTTTTCTTATGAGATGGTTTGAAGGTTCTAGCCTGAGCCTAAAAATATTAAATTTTAATGGATCACAGGATTTTAGGGTTGGGATGGACCTTAACAATTCGTTAGTCCAACCCAGTCTTTTCTGATGAGGAAGATGGGGCCTTGGACGGGGCAACGACGGCTTGTCTAAGGTCACACAATGGCAGAGGCTGGACCCAGCTGTCTCCATCTCCACCCTATTACTGGTACTCTCTGCAGAACTATCTTCCCCCGTTTCTCTGGTTTTATTTGGTCCCATTCATTAAATAACAAAGAAAATATTAGGTACATAGCAATATAATACACAAAGACATTTACTCCAATTTAAAAATCAGAATATCAACGTGATTCCTGAGCCTTTACCTACCTTCATTTTATTGGGAATGCAGTCAATAGTAAATTATGACTAGCTATCGTGATTACTTTCCAATATTTACACAGACACTGAAAACACCTTTTAGAACTATTCCTCAGACACCTTTACAGAAGCAGCCACACGACGCCAAGACACCTTTCATGGAATGGAATGGAACTGGGGTGGTGAGTGGAAGTGAGATGCTCGGTGTCTCAAAGCGCAGTCATGAGTTTATCGCGACACACCACACTCTGCACTCCTCCTAAGTTCTTCTGGTTCTGGTTGTGGACATAATCGAAATGGCTGTCATCTCCACTGGCCGACGCTTTCCAAAGTGGCCTGTCATCCTCAATGGATGGCCTGTTTTGTTTGCAGAGTGAATGGTTAGTGGGGGAATGGAAGAAAATTCAGTAAAGAATGAAACATGAGCACAAAGGAAATGGGAGGGAACACCATGGACGCTGTGAATGGGAGTGGCTTACACACCGAAATGGATGGATTTTCTACTGTGTTTTAAACGTTCAGATGTGGGTCAGGTGGCAACTTCTGAGTAGAGAAGAGCTCTGTCTGTGACTGTGCCATCCCTGCAAAGGTGGTCTGGGGAAAGCTAGGTCAAGGTGGAAAAGGGGCCTTTGCTAGGGGACGTCTCAGGGCCGCTATGTGAATGTGCCCTGCGATTGTCTTATGCAGAAGTTGCCCAAAGCGTTGGACTGATGACCTCCCTTTTCCTGAGGTAGGTATCTCAGGCAGCGCTTCTCTAACTCTAGAGAGCCTGATAAAACACAACACGCTAGGCCCCAATGCCAGAGATTCTTGGGTCTGGGGGACCTGAGAATCTGCATTCGCAAGCTCCCAGGGAGAGGATAGGTGCTACTGCTGCCAGGCAGTCGGGCTACCGAGGGGAGCCCTGTTCCAGCCTTCCTCAGAATTCTTACTGGAAAACGCTGGGCTAGGTCACGCCTCAGAAGGAAACTAATATGATAAACTAAGCAATAAGAAGCGTAAAATTCTGTCAAAACAAGGTTATTAAAAATATCATTCCTATAAATCATTGGTTGCTCGTGTCTGGAAAATAAACTGCCTTTGCCATACAGAAACATTGAGAATCATTACTCTACTAGTTTGATTTGATTTTTAAAAGTTACATAAGTATAGAGTGTTTACGCTAAAACTGCACTGTTGTCCTACAGGGTCCCCCACAAACATGGTCAGAACTGTCAAGAACCAAGGGCTCCTGTTTGCCCTGCTCTAACCAGGTTTAGTTCCATTACTCCATCCCCTGTGTTTTCTCGGAGAGCAAGGCTGCCTCACCAAGAAATAACTATGCAAATGGAATTCACCAACTATGTTTCTGAAACAGCTTCACAAATAAACACCAATTAAAGCTGATCTTAAAAGGAACGCTGGCCTTGACAAAGCTGGCATTAAAACACTCTTGAGCCTGACTATAAACACAGGGCAGGTGCCAGTTTAGTTCGGAAGGGTTGTGGTAGGTTAGGGCAGAGGTGAGCAAGCACAGCCCACTCACCGGCTTGTTTTCGTAAATAGGCTAGTGGAGCACAGCCACACCCATTCGCTTCCCTACTGTCTGTGGCTGCTTTCAAGCTATGGTGGCAGAGTTGAGTAGTTGTGACAGAGACCACAAAGCTGAAAATACTGACTACCTGGCCCTTTATGGAAAAAAGTTTGCTGACCCCTGGGTTTAGAAAAAAGATCTATTGCCACAAAAAGCAAACCCCATCCTTGAAAAATAACACCCCTGTCCAGAAACCCACAACAAAAATCCCCAAGCTTTAGTCACATTTTTAGTAAATGAATTCTTAGGACAGGAAAATGTTACTTAGACATCTTAAGTAACATTTCTAACACAAAACCAAACCAAAAATATCTGAGGTTAGAATGACTTTCTTAAAAAACCCAATTCATTTTGATGTCATAAAGCATAAGTTTAGCAAATCCAGAGTCTCCGCTGGCTGCTTCTGCTTTGCACAGAATTAATCTCTGCCGTGACAAGGCCACTCTTAACAGTTGCTGCTGATGCAGAGCTTTAATTCATGACTCAGTGGAATCTGAACTTTTCCGGAGAAAAGAACTTGTGAACAGAGGGCTCTGTGAGCTCAGGCACTTACCTTACGTTTGGAGAGTGAGGGTGCCACCGGGGCTGGCTGGGGTGGATACTGGGATGGTACTTAGGCTAGAAAGAAAACACCAAGCGTGATTATTCGATGACCTTCTTGATTTCAATGTTCTTCATTCACTTTCTCTTTTACTGGCATCCACATGAGGGGCTGTGAATGTTTCCCAGGATGATCATGTTTCCCCCAGACAAAAGCTGGGGGCTGGGAAGCTGCCCAGGAAGAAAGGAGGAGGCATCTGCCTTGAAAGGGTCCCCTGGAGAGTCCAGGACAGGCAATAATCATCTCCCCCAAGGGAACAAGAGAACAGACGGAAGGTGCCAGAAAGACAGGGAGGATGTTCCGGCAATGTTCGGAAACAGTTTTTGTCATTGCTGAAAATGACGAATAGCATGGGTAACAGTTACGTCTGCGCACACAAAGACAAGGCCTGGACACCAAGGGCTGTGGGAGCGCTCATCCTTTCTCCTTGGAGCAGTACAAATAATTTTCTAAAGCATGATCCAAAATACCCCCCAAACCATCCGGAGCACTTATCTTGGTAAAACGGAAGGAAGAAACTTGTCCATTTTAAGATGAGAAAATAGATCCAGACTAGTGACCCACAAAATGACCCAGGGAGGAGACAGGATGGGGCGGGCTGGGTGGTGGGTGCCTATCCACTTCTGGCCTGCAGAGGGCAGCAGCCCCAGACGTAGCCAGAAGCCTCTGCACTTCTCAAGGCTAAACTTTCTACCTGGCAAATTAGGCCCTCCTGACATTTAAGCCACTACAGTCTTGCCACCATCACTCTTTTAATTATTTCCCTCCCTTCGTCTCCCTTCCCTGCTGCTTTGGTTAATAAGCACAAGGCTGCTCTCTGTTATGGAAAATTCCCAGCAATTCTGTTCATTCAGTTTTCAGGGACCCGAGATGCCCTCCCCGCCTACTCAGTATTCCAGAGGCCTCTCTTTCGGAGATGCCTGTCAGCAAGCTAAGTCTGCAGCCCCCAAAAGGACATGCTGCAGGACAGGGGATCTGGAGAAAATCCCTCAGTAGCAGATTTGAGAGCTGACCGGGGCTTTAGAATCTCCCCATACAGTCTCTTCGTTCTCTTAGGGATACAGAAGCCCAGAGAGTTTACAGCATTTGCCCAAAGCCCAACTGTTTTGGCCCCAAGTGAGGCTCCACCAATTGGGTCTTCAACAAAAGGGAGTAACAGATTAGAAATGGATCTTCTTTTCCCTGTCTTTAATTTATGGGCCCTTGAAAGCCATCCACACATATTTTTTAATATTAACCCCGAAAGTTCTCAATCTGGGCAGCTGTTGTTTCCCTTGGGACAACTGCAAATATATGTGCATTTTTGCTTGTCACAACAACTGGAGGGTTACCTTTAATTACTGGGCAGAGAAGAGGGAAGCTAAATATCCTGTAACCCTAGGAAAGTACCAAACAAGGAAGAACTGTCCCTCCCCAAATGCCAACAGTGTCCTGGTCGGGAACACAGCAATCCATCCTTCGCAGGTGGCTAACCTTGCTGAGCTCAGACTGAGATAGCGCTGCAATCCCACCCCATCCCCCTGAAGCCCTTTCCCCGCACTCAGATGCTTATCGGGCCACTTCTCAGCATGTTCTCTTCCCGGGTGACTGACTCCCAAACCCTGAGAGAGCCACACAGGACCTCTAAGACGGGCAAGGCACAGAGGACCTGTGGTTCCCAGAGATGTTGAGAGCAACATGTAGGAAACAGATTTTGCAGATCTGAGTTCAACAATTGCCTCGCTGTTCACCATGAGCAGAGCGAGCAGAGCGCACTCACCCACGGGGCTGGTGGGGAGAGGGCGGGGGCAGCGCTGAGCTGGGACTGCTTTGCTTCATTTATCTTTTGATGTTCTTCAAACAATAATCACCCATTGACAAGTTGTCCCTTCCTCCACAACATCCAGGCTACTCACCCCTGAAAATCCCTCAAACACCAACAAAAAACCAATCTGAGTAAGAAGATCCGAGAACCTAAAGGCGGCAAGGAGGTGGGGAAACCGGGCCCCGCCTCCCCCAGCAGGTGCAAAGCACTTTCAGCTGTTCTTCCCTAGACCTGGAAGTCTCGTCCAGGTTTTGCACTTCGGGAACGATTTCATGTACAGAAGGCGAAACTACAAATTTCTCCTGAAACATACTTTGGAGACCGCGTAAAGATAATGTGCATGGGATCCCCCCCAACCTAAGGAAATAATACCTACAGTAACCAAGATCAAGAATAAGACTAGTCAGAATGAGGGTCCAGGGCGGACTCATAATGAAGGAGCTTCGTTCCTTGTGACACTCAAAATGAGACTGGTGACAGGGCACAGACCTGGGAGGGTCATGTCCCTTAGACATTCACACCACCCAGGACAAGAAAGCTGATCCCAGTTGGGAGGTCACCAGACGTGGATGCTGGCCCCAAGCGCAAACAAATGACAGCGCAGGAAGCGAGGGGCGCCTCATTCACCAGAGTTCCCCCATTTGGCTGCTCATGAGAAACCCCTTTGGGGCTGTGAAGCTCTCTAACAGTCAGATTGCACCCTCAGAGTTCCTGATTCAATCAGTCCAGGGTGAGGCCCAAGCTCTGGTTATTTGTTTAAAACTTGCCAGATGGTGCAGCAGGGCTGAGAACCACTGGTGCTGGTGACCTCCAGTGAAGGGGGTCAGAGAGGCTCTGGGGAGGAGATGGCTTCCGAGGCAGGCTCTATACCAGGGGTGGGGAATGTACGGCCCGCGCAATCATTTGGTTTGGTCCTGCCACTGCAACTGCAGAAGGGATTTGAAATTCAATACATCTGGGAGCTTTTTTCATAGTTAATTTTTAAGTTGATAATTTTGTATGGCCCTCAAATAATGTTATAAATATCCAAATGGCCCTTGGCAGAAAAAAGGCTCCCCATCCCTGCTCTAAACAGACAGGAGGCAAAGGAATTCCAGGCAGATGACTACAGGCAAAGGAACGGTGGGAATAAATTATGGGACAACGATGATGCAATTCTCCGAGAGCTGAACATATGTTTTGTGATGAGCAGCAATTTGAAATAAATGTAGAAAAGGAAGTCTCAGCCAGGCTGTAGAAGACTGAACGGCCAGTGAGAGCTACCCACTGGGAGTGGTGGGTGGGGAAGGCATGGGATTTGGGCCCTGCTGACTGTCCATCCCATGAAAGAGCAGAACACCAGCCCTGGGAACAGCTCTGTGCCCCTGCTGCAGGTGACAGCTCTAGCACAATGCTTTACAAAGGTGGTTCTAGGAACCACTACTGCACTGATGTTAATGGGTGTACCACCAAAAAAGGGGGGGGGAAATGACGGGTAAGGAGAGAGGCTAGCTTTTTGTTGGGGGGAGGTGTCCAATAATCAAATGATCTTGGGAAACATTGGATTTAAAAAAAATAAAATTTGTCTTTCTTGCAGGGTTTTCTCAGTATGTTGGATACCCCAACGGGCACTGTAAGATCCAAAAAGGGACATGAAGGACACAACATCTCCCAAACCTGTGACCAAGACATTCTTTCCTGGAGGCACTCCTCAAGGGCTCATGTTCCCTGGGCCTACAACACACCTAGACAAGAAGGGGCCTCACTTGAATGCCCCTAAGAGGCTGTTTGACCACCCAGAAACTAAACAATGTCCCTGCTGCTGCTAGTTGACAAGGTGAAGAAAAATAGGCAGGCCTGAGGACCAAGAGGAAGCCAGAGTTAGGGGGGAAGACGCTCCTCTTACTGTTTTCTCAAAAAACATTATTATTTCTTTAAAACCTGACTATAAACATAATGATTGCTCAATGTGGAAAGTTGAGAAACTTTAAGAATTATTACATGAAAACCTTTAAAAGCAATATCTTACCTGGTAATTATGGACTTCAGGGTTTGTTTTAGAGCTAAAGGAAAGAAAAGAAAAATATATGTAATAGGTTGTAAAGTGGCATCATTACTGACTTACAGGCATACCTCGGAGATATTGCGGGTTCGGTTCCAGACCACGGCAATACAGCGAGTCTCACAATAAAGTGAGTCCTAGCCTTCTTGCTGGTAGAGGGTCTTGCCTTCAATTTGTTTTAAAAAAAAAACAAAAACAAAAAAAAAGACCGCAACATCTGTGAAGCGCACATAAAATGAGGTATGCCTGTATTTAAACACCATAAACTAATCCTAAGCCCTATTACTTTGTTAGGAACTTTCATGAATACTCTTTTTTTATTATTAGTTGCTTAAATGAACATGTAACCGAAGAAACCAAACATCAACTTTCATTTGTCACATTAGAGCTCACAAACAGAAGCAAGCGGGTAATATTCCAGAATCCTGGTTGTGATGGGGTGTTTTGGTGGCAAAAAGGAGGTCTTTCCAATTAGGTAAACCCAGTAATTTAAGCTCCCCTTTCAGATCTGCCCTGGCACTGCTGGGTGATGCATAGCACCAGGCAGCTCCAGTGATGCCCACAGTTGGAGGGAAAGCCACCAGCCATTTCTGAGCACCTGCGACGATGGGCCCCGCTGCCAACAACAATGAAGCCATGAGCTGGCCACCACTCTGGAATGTTCATTCCATATAAGGCTTTGTACTGGGAACTTTACATCTGCTGTTATTTAATCCATGCAGCAAGGCTATGAGGTCAATAAATGTTACTACCATATTTTATAGATAAAGGAATGATCGCCTAACAGAGAAGTTAGGAAACCTGCTCAGGGTCAGCCGGCTAATGATCACTGGCAGAGCCAGGACTGGAATGGACATCTGCTTGATCCCAAAGCCTACACTGTTTCCACTAAGCCAAGAAGGTTCTGGGGTTCCTCACGCACTACCCTCGTAAAAAAGATGGATGGTGAAGGCTGGTGTAAAATGTAACATGTTATTTAATATGCAAGCGTGGAATCTGCCAGAGAAAACTCAAACAAACGGCAGTAGCATCAGGCTGTGTTGCTACGGTGTGCCTGACATCAAGGTTTACCGCTTCTCCAACAATGAGAGGGAAATGTGTCGTTGCTACGAGCCCTGCTTGGGGTCTAAACGGGGCCGCGTTCCAGTTTTCAGAGGGGGCCAGTGCTCAGAGCCAGGCTCCAGGCCAGGTTCACCTCTGGCTGGACTGCACCAGGAAGGGTAAGTGTTCTGCAAGGTTCTGCAGCCCGGAGCACAATTTCATCCCTGGCTCCCACGGCAATCCTCCTCACCCTGGATCCCACAGGCTGCGCGGAACAATCCAACAGCTGCGAACAGTGGTTATTAGCTCATTTGTTCCTAAAGGGTATATTTACTTGGGGTGTTTTTAAATTTATTTATTTTTTTAGTTTGTTTTGGTTCCCAATATATATAATCTCCACTAGACGCTAAGTGGAAAGTGTAATTTTATTAGGGAGTAGCAAACACACAAAACAATCACTTCCTTAGACAGCGAAGGAAAGAAAAGTTGTAACTCACAAACCCGAGAAGTAACAGCAAGGCAGCTGACAGGCGGGAAAGGAGCCAATCCTATCAGCATACTACCTGCCGGGCTGCTGGAAACAGGGCCAGCCCGAAGGCCTAATGCCAGCCCAGGCAGGGACTGGGCAACCTCCTCCCACCCTGGGGTGGGGGTGGGGCAGGGCGTGATGCGCCGCGGTTTACAGGACTCTTGAGCCCCTTCCTGGCCTGCGGAGATCTGAGCCTAGACACAGCGTCTGGAGGCTGGACCCCAGCAGAATGGCACTGCAGGTAGTTTGAAATCAGAGACTTGAGGTTGAGCGAGCTTCCGGTCCTGTGATATAAAGGGCCAGTTCCGTTCTCTAGAACCTTGGGAATCAAGGGCCTTGGGGCTGCCTTGGGAGGGAGGGGCGTATAAGCAGCAGGCACTGGCCGCTTCCTCCCCACTCAGCTTCATCCCCAGGAGCTCCACTTTCCTCTGTTCTCTGTCAGGTTTCTTCTGGGGGCAGGGGGTGAAAATCAGAGGCTAAAAAAGTTTGAATGAAACACTGGTCCAGCCCTAGCCAGTTTGGCTCAGTGGTTAGAGGTCAGCCCAAGGACTGAAGGGTCTCAGTTTGATTCCCGGTCAAGGGCATGTACCTCCGTCGCAGGCTCAATCCCCAGTCCTGGTTGGGGTGTGTGCAAGAGGCAACCAATTGATGTGTCTCTCTCACATTGATGTTTCTCTCTCTCGCCCCCCTTTCCACTCTCTCTGAAAAGCAAGGGGAAAAAATATCCTCAGGTGGGGATTAAAAACAACAACAACAACAACACTGAGCCAGCCCAACCTCCTTGTTTTCAAATGAGAAAGAAGAGGCCCAGAAAAGGGAAGGCCAGCGTCCCAGAGCTGGGGTAGAGCCAAGCCAGGGCCAGGCAGGAGCCTCTTGATCCCTCGGCCAGGGATCTCACCACCAATCAGGGCATCAGCTACCTGCTCCACCATGTGCTCTGCCAAATGTCCAGAGAGTATGGCACAGCCGAACTGTGCTGATCTCAAACACCATCCTCCCTAGTAGCCAGAGGCCTGTGCCTCTGACAACTGAGAGGCTAACTGAACTGGGCTATTGGTCAGCTGTAGAGCTTAGATGCAAGAAACAACCTCATTCTGTGATTCTCTACCAGCTTGTCCACCTAATAAGTCAAAACTCCCCTAAGAAAACAGTTGTTTCAGAGGGAGAAAAAAAGGCACATGCAAGGTAGGACAGTGGTTCTCACCTGGGCTGTACACTAGAATCACCTGGAGGCTTTCAAAACCACAGATGCCTGGGCCCCACCCTCAGAGATCGTCCCTCAGCCTGGGGTGTGTGGCCTGGCTGATGGGGACCTGTCAAAGCTGACCAAGCAATTCTGACTTACAGGAAAGATCCAGAACACCTGTGCTAGGGAAGCGGCCAGCAAACCACTCCCTGGCCTACCTGTGATTGCGAGTGAAGTGTGATAGGCATACGGACATATCCCTTCATTTACATACTGTCTATGGTGGCTTTTGTGCTCCAGCGACAGAGCTGAGTACTTGTGAAAGAAACAGCCCAGCCTGCAAAGTCTAAAATATTTACTATCTGGCCCTTTACAGAAAAAGTTGGCTGACTCCCGGGCTAGAGTTTCGGTCTTACGACAAGTTCCTTTTCCCGCAGGAATTTCAATAAAGGTGCTTAATAAAGGCTTTCTACATTGTATGGCTAGGAAACCTGCCCGTCACAGAGCGAATCCTGCATCTGCTCTGGCATCGCTTTTGCTCATGAGCACGGCCTGCCTTTCCAACATAACTGCCTGCAATGCCATGAGCACCGTGTGCCACACACATTCCTTTCACCTTTGTCACCCACGGTTATAACAAACAAAGCACAGAGCTACTCAAACAAGGCAGCTGTGTTTTCTAAAACAACAAACTGTCTTGAAACATTCTTCTGTGTACTCATTGAAAGCCAGGGGGATGGTATATAGCCAGGCAGCAGAAACGGGGGAAAAAAAAGAGCAGACTCACTCGGTGATTTAATTGTATCAAGGAAAAAGTCAATATTGAAAGTAAATATAATAGAGAAAAGAGCTGCATCCCAGAGCCAGGGGGCACTTACCAGAGCTGAGCTGCTATCACCGGGTTGCTTGCTTTAAAAAAAAAACAGAGAGCAAGACATTTTAGAGAGCTTTATCACTTTTACCACGCACGGTGACAATGTTGGGGAAAGAGGTTGCTGCAATCTAGGAGCAGCCTCGAGGCCAGGAGGCAGAGTCTCCACCGTGGCTGCTTCTCCTTTCTGGAGGGAATGTAAACGGCTTTTCCTCTGTGCCCTGCCCTGCGATTCACTTGGTGCGAGCTCATGGAGCGCGTTCCCAGGGCCAGGCTCTCTGGGAGGCAGAGAGGACACACACAGTCCTTGCTCTCAGGGAGCTCCCAGCACTGACACAGACAGAGAGGCTAACATACAAGTAGGAACCTGCTGGGGAGCTCATGGCAGCCACTGCTGACTGGGGCAGGGTGTGAGTCTGTGGAAGGGGCCACATGAAGAGGTAGAGCTTATTTACCTGGACTCCGTTTCATTTTTAAAAGGATGCAGCACAGAGAACCATTAGAAGCTTCACAAAGATGCCAGAACCCTGGCTGGAGAAGATGTCAGTAAAACAAAGGAGGGAAAGAGAATGGAGACCAGGATGAAACGTGGAAGCGAAACACAGAACCTGGAGCCTGGCAGTGCTCTAAGGCCATCGCACGGCTCAGGCACTGGGATGTCCCCTCCCCTCTGCGGCAGCCACGCCAAGGGGTCTTCCCCTTTGTGCCTGTGCGCATCCCCAGGCCTGGGAGCTCACTAGCATCTTGAGATAGCAGGACCTTTGGACAGCCCCGTTAGAAAGTTCTTTCTTATACTGAGGTATTTCTGCACAACTCTGACCCAGTGGACTACATGCACAAGCAAGATGCTTGTCAGGGAGGTAACACAGCCCTTGGGACATGAGGCTAATGTCCTCACTTGAAATTCAAGCTGGAGGAGAGAAGGGGCTGTTTTTCCCTCTAAAACACAAGATCATCTTCCCTAGGCAAGAACACGTTTAGGAGTGGGCGCAAGGAAACAAGTGTGCGAAAGGGGGAATACACATCCAATGGGAAAGACTAAAGACAAGATGGCAGGAGGGGCCTGATTACCGTCAAGAGAATCCCCCTGGGCTGTTTTCTTCCAAAGCTTTGGCAAACTCACAGATACAGAGAACAAACTGATGAAGGCTGCCAGAGGGGAGGAAGTGGATGGATGGGCAGACACGGGGAACGGGATTAAGAAGTACAGACTTCCAGTTACACATCACAGGGAAGACAGTCAATGGTCTTGTCAAAACTATGTCCAGGGGGAGATGGCTACTGGACCTACAGTGGGGATCACTTCGTAAGATACCTAAATGTCGAAGTGCTAGGCTGTGCACCTGAAACTAATATAGCATTGTATGTCACTACAATTAAAAATAAATTTAAAAATAAAAACCAAAAAGCTTCAGAATGACAGAGCAGACCAGTGGGAAGTTCCTTCAAAATCTGCTTCACCACGCTCCTCGGGGACTAACCAGCTAACCCACACTGTGAAATTCCCACACAGAAGGAAAAGCGCACAACCTTTGAATGTTGAATGTCTCCGGGATGGGTAGCGTTTACTAGGCTTCCTCTCAAAGGTGCTGGTTCTTCGTAGCCGGGCCCCGTGTGTAGCCTGATATTCCGTCCGCCCACTGGAAGGTAAATATTTTACTGCATGTTACCAATATCAGGATATCAGTACATTACACATATTTGAAAGCAAATTTTTATTTCCATGAGTTCCAATGTCAATTTCAACTTATCGTGACGCGTGTGGTAAAGAACACACTCAATTTCACCTTCTGTTTGGAAATAAAATCAGCTTTGCCAAATCCGGGCTGTGTGATTGAGGCTGGTATTTCCAACAAAGAACAAAACCCACAATTTAGGTACCAGCTACTTGGCTGCACAAACCAAGCAGGCTCGAGTACCTGGAACATTTGACTAAGAGAACACTGATTTGCACATATAAATAACCTTTCATAAAACAAATTACACAGACATTTAAATCTTTTAAAAGGCTGCTATCGACGACCACTTATCTAAACCTTGGCTTCGCCTGCTACGCGCCAAGGGAACATTGGCTCTCACCGAGGCTTTCTGGGTTCAGCCGAGGAGTGGCCCAGCCTCCAGGGGGCGTGCTGTTTTTGTCTCATCTGTCGTGGCTTCATTCCAGTCACTCTCGGGCTGGGATTCATCACAGGGAAGGAGCCACTTGCCACCTGCTATGAGAGCCTCCAACGGGCAACCTCATCTCTAAACTCCCCTTTCCTTCTAAACTTCTCAACGAGCGGAAGGGAGCCTGGTCTGGGCCAAATCCTGGGGGAGCTGCCTCCCAGTGTGGAAAATCCTGCCTTGGCAAGCACCCCCATAGGCCTTCCCTCCTCACTCGCCCTGGAGCAGACATCAGCATCCCGTGCGATGTTCCCATTGACCTTTGCAGTTTCGACATTCTCCATCCCCCACAGAACCCTGGGAGTCGATTCTCAGAAAGGACCGGTTGTTTTTCCCCCCCGCCCTGCACGCAGCATTTAAAAATACATTCAAAGTAATTCTTTAAACTCAAGTGCACAGCCATTCCCGTGCACAGGAGATAAATTTGAACTGAGAAGATCTTTTTGCACTTTAAGCAGAGTTCAAGGACATGCCATGTGTGGGTAGAGGTTATGAAACATGTGAAGTCTTAGATCTTGTAGGAGCTATTCTCAGATCTGTAAACGTGCCTCAGCAATCAACCTTGGGAGCGGGTTTAAAATGTACATGCCCAGGCCTTATTCATACATGCACATGTGGCCACCCCCAGATTCTGATTACAAAGGTCTTAGATGAGGTCATAAATTCTCATTTTTAATAAATACCCAGGGAGTTTCCATGCACTTTGAGAGAGACAGTCTCAGAATCATAAGTAAAAAATATATCAGAATAAACTGTCTATTTTTTCAGGGTCTTTTCAGATTCACCTATTTACTGAGCCTACCCTGGTCACTCACACATATGCTGAAATCGGCTCTCATTCTTAAATGTCACCGAATTTCCTGACACTGGCATGTGAAAAGCAATAGAGTGATGGATGGATAAAATGTAAGATCCAGACTGTGTGGGGTTGAATCGTGGCTCTACCATTCACTGTCTGTGACTTTGGGCAGATTACGTAATGCCCGGCCCTAGTTTCCTTATCTGTAAAATGGGGACAACCAGAGGACCTATCTTCTTAAGGCTGCTGGGAGGACTGTGAGCTATACCATGAAGAGCCTGGTGCAGTGCAGGGCACAGAGCTTTCCACAGGGATGTCTCCGTCCATCCTGTGGCTGTACTGCCCAGTGTGGTAGCCACCTGCCTCATGCCCTGGGCACCTGAAACATGCTTAGTGAGACTTGAGAAACTACATTTTAAAATTCCTTCAATATTAATGACTCTGAATAGCCACATGTGGCTAGTGTTTCCTGCATCAGACCATCTCATTCAAGCTAAATGTCAGCTATTAATAACTTTGTTGTTATCCCCATTTCACCAATGAGAACGGCGGCTGAAAGCGTCAGGGACTTGACGGGAAGGGCAGATCTTAAGAAGCAGGGACAGAGCGCCCAACGGGAGCCTCCGGATGAAGATCCGTGGCTCCAGGCACAGAAAACGCCGCCCCTGCCCTCCTTCCGAGCCCGCGATCGTGCTGCACAGATGGTGCCTACCTGAATCGGAAGCGGGACCCCAGCCTGATGAAGTCTGACCCGTTGGACTTGCTGTGCCCCGGCGCCCGCAGTCGGAAGAAGGCGTGGTGCTCGACGGCGCACTTCCAGAGGTGCTTGCAGGTCCTGGCGCTGTCCAGGCGGAACACGAACGTGTGCTCCTGCTCGCGGCCCTTCGGGGGAGCACAGGGTCCTCGCGTGAGTGGGCGCGGGGAAGCGCGGGGCGCTCACGCGAGGCGGGAGAAGGGGCGAGGCGTACCTGGTCGTCGTCCTCCACCACGACCAGCGTCAGTTTGCTCTTTTTAAAATCCATTTTGGTAATTTTAGGCCTGGTCAGAGAGAAGACATTGTAAAAATACAATCTGCAGGAAAACTACGCATCAAACAGCAGTTTCCGCTCTACTTTTAAAGCTTGGATATTGCTACGAAATCATTCGTTCATTTAAGCGTGATTATCCCGAAGTTTCATTGCCATTGCCACACACCCACAGATACAAGAGAATGGTGTGTCTTTAAAATGAATCAGGAGGGGTTGCAAATACCCCTCAATAATCATCCATCACATATAATTCCACCACAAAATAGGAAAAGACATTTTTAATATTAGACAAAACTAAATTACCAAAAGAATAAGCCTATTTTGTTAGCTCCTTCAAAGATTAATATGCCTGTCGGGGTCAGTCCAAGAGAATATTCACAGCCATCTCTTCCCTACAAATAAATGAAGTGACAATCGGTAGAAGGTTCTAACAGGTGGTCACAGAGCAGAATGCAAAACAGTTCGCTCACCACGTTACTTTATTTGCCCACCGTTTACACGCTGCTCGGGCACAGCGAGACCCAAGGACTTAAACGCACCCAGTTCTTACCCTGACAACGTGCATGTCTACCCCATACATTTCCAGCCACTTCGCTTTATTCAGATAGGACAGTTCCGCCTGGGCAGGGCTCTTTCCCCTTAGAGAAACCAATGGAAATACATGTAAACTGCAATTTGTACACCCACAAAATTCTGAAGGGCACAGCCATACACTAAGGGATTTTATGCAGCAATTAAAGGAGTGAGGGACACCCATTTATACTAACACACCTCCCAGACAGACCGTCAATTGAACAGGAAGATGACAGAGCAGTGTTTATAATGTGAACACAGAAGGCAACAATTTTTTGGTGTGTAAATACGGGTATGTATACGCAAATAAAAGGCCGAGAACACAACAGCTGCCTGCAGGGGGGTGAGGGGTAGGTAGGGGTGCAGATAACGCAGCAACCACACATTTCTACGTGAAACAAGAATGTGCTAACGTTCACTCTCACTGTTCATTTTCAAAAAAGCCGTACGTCCTTCACAATGACTGACCGACAACAGGAAATCAGGCTAAGTTTCTGAGTCCAAGAGTGACTTGGAATGGGCAGAGTTTGGGGAAGATGGGCTGGGAAGGAAGAGATGCTAAAGTCTGAGAAACTTGTGAGTGCACTACTGGTAGCCCAGGCATAAAAGTGCCAGATCGGGGTGCCTATGGGGGAAAGGAGAAAAAGCCCAAAGATAAAAGGCAGGGCTGGTTTTAGCTGCAGTGACCACATGTCCTGAAATATAGTGTTGCACAGCACATGGACTCAAATATGACTGTCCCTGTAAGGGAGAACATGGCCTATTTCTGAAGAGTTCACTCTAGAAGTTCAGACGAGGGACAGAGACCCAGGTGTGTGGAATGTTTCAAGGCAGCACCTCCTCTTGATTTCTTGAGGCCAGGCGAGCAGGGGCATGGCCTGTAGCAATGAACAAACCAGGCCCAGGCTCTATAACTCGGAGAGAAACAGGAATATGCTTTGGTTCTTACGGTACATCTCTGCAAAGAGAGACGTTGTGTGGGCCTTTGGAAAAATAGCACTGAACGGGGCACAGGAGAGAGGTGAAGAGTTGGGGCTGCAGTTTTACAGTAGATAAAACAATCTTACAAATGCTTACATATTACAAGATAAATGCGTCAAGGTACCTGCACTCTTTCCATCTCTGGAAGATATCAAATTCCATCGCTTCTGTCTGATTTGGAATGAACCGAAACTCAGACACAAGCTCTGGTGTGTGCTCTGGAAGCTCGCATTCCCCAAGCTCTGCTGCAATCGTCAAGAGGGAGAAAAACAGGAGACATTGAATGCTTTTCACTACTGCTGCAACAAGGTCCAAAGGCATTTGGCACACGGTGAGAAAGCACAGGTACCCCAAATGTGTAAGTCTCCTTTCAGGAGGACCTGACTCCCACTCAGTACCCACACACACATTCAGAATCCCCAAGAGTCACTCGAGCACCCACCCCATCAGGTACAACACCATCGTCTTAGTGATTACTGTCTTTCTCCTGACTATTTCTCCTACCAAGGGAGGCCCCGATTATATTTCCCCGGAGAAGTGGTAGAGCCTGAATGTGCAATAAAAGGCAACTGCGGGGAATAAAGACCTGCCCAGAAACATCCACTTAACAAAAGCTTTTGTGAAGCAGGTGGGTCTGAGCAGCACTCCAGGGGCTGCAGTGCTGGAGAGGACCAATCAAGAATTCAGCACATGCAGAATCCAGGGGAAAATATGTTGGGAGGGAGAGGGAAGGAGTGATGGAGGAGGGGGTGTGAGGGCTGCAGGAGCAACTGCCGCAACTCAGGCAGAACCAGGGAGGGAGCCAGTCAGGCAGAGAGGAGGAGCTGCCATGTGGGTAATCCCTGCTGAGGGTCCCTGCTCTCACTAAGTACCCCACAGGACTGAGGGCCTGAGGACACAGGGGCCCAATTCCTCCAGGACACGAATGGGAAAATCCACTCCCCCCCAGCCCCACCCAGCGCACCTCTGCAGCTCAGGAAGCAGACCCCAGAATGAAAGGGCATCCTCCAGAGGCTCCTCTAATACCCTGCTACATAAAGGGTCGACCTCACACCGGCAGCATTGGCATCACCTGGGAGCCTTCTCACAATGCCGAATCTCAGACCCCACCTCACACCTATCGAAGCAAAACCTGCCTTTTCTTAAGATGCCCAGGGAGTGATGCACACATTACTGTGAAAAGCACTGATCTACAATAATGGGTTTCAAATGCGAGCATGCATTAGGGTCACCTGGAGAGCTCATTACAATACACATCGCTGGACCCCACCCCCAGGGATTCGGATTTTGTGGGTCTGGGAAAGGCCTGAGAATCTGCATTTCCAGCAAGTTCCTAGGTGATGCAGATGTGGCTGACCCAGGGAACATACTTTGAGAACCACTGCTTAACACAACATGTCCCATCAACTGACCAGCCAGCATATGCCTGAGTCCCTCCAGCGACAGCAACTCGATATGTACCCAGAAGCCCTTTCTCTCAACCCCAGGTGAGCTGCACCAGGCCTGGCATGGGCTGCTAAGGACTCCAGCTGGCTTACAGGATTCGACAGAACGTCCCTGATCACACAGAGGAAGCATTAACACAGACTTGAAGGGGTGATGGGAAGACTGTACGAGACCGTGCCTGACACAGGCAGGGGCTGGGTGAATGTTTCCTCACCTGACTGCAGCCCCTCATCTGCAACTCTGAAGTGGACAGCACCCCCCACAACCACCAGGTGGATGGGGTCAGGTGAGCAAAGTCACTCATGAAGACTGCCCTGGAAATATTTGCCCAGAGAAGGTGAGGTCCAGGCTTCCGAGGTGGGAGGCCACCTTTGACCCTCGACCAAGGGATAACACCCTGAAACTAGTGGCCTGGCAAGCACAGAGGGGCAGTCTAGGAAGAGATCACCTTGATATGAACCACTCTTCCCTTGCACCCATGGGCCAAAGTGAGGCAATGGGGCCCTGCACTTAGTGGTGTGTCTGGACAAGTCCACTGACACCATCAAGCACAGGAGGGGGAAGCCAGGCAATGACAACGCTTCCCTGGGACCCTGCGAGGGGACTGGTGTCCCTCCTCACCATGGCTGGATTAAAACAGGCCTGAGGGAGACCCGTTTGAGAGAGCATGCCTGCCTTCCAAGAATCTGCTGGCAAAAATGACACTTCACTCAGTCTGCTCACTGCAGCCAGGGCCCTAGCTGTGCAGGGTGGCGGTAACAGCTCAGACACAGGGGGGCATGAATCCCACCTCCACTGTATACGATCTGTGTGACCTGGGCAAGTCACTTAACCTCTCTGGGTCTTCGATGCTTTACTTGTAAAATGGGACCTGTTACAGGATGAAATGAGATCATGGGCACACAACCAATTATCTCCTTCTTCCTCCCCTGTTTTTCTTTTAGCTGGAATTGAATTTCAAATCTACCAGGAATTTAGTTCCCCAAAGAGCACAGCTGCCATGCAAGGCCACTGCATCCTAACTCCGAAAGCACCATTAACTCAAGGACAACCACAGTGAGACATATCTGCAAGGCTCGAGCACGGGAAGAAACACAGTCTTTTATGTTATTCAAACCCACACAGACGCTCTAGTGATCTTTACAGTCTGAGGCAAGCTGGCTCGGCTGTGACTGAGCTGAAAAGCAGGCTGCAGCGTTAACTGATGGGATGGGGAGAAGGGGGCATGGAGGGACAATGCACCATGAACTTCTTGTAGACATTTGTGTGTCTCGGTCTTCAGTCTTTATTTGTACTTCACATAATGACTGCATCTTAAATCACACTAATGTGGTTCCAACTCGAATGGGTAATTTCTTCAAGAAGGGCTCACAGACAGCTGATATTCTTGTCTGCATGGGTTCTGGGGCAAGGTATGTAGTTCTACTAGGCCTGGACTTTGTGAAGATGATGACGGCTTCATCACATTGGGTGGTGGAGGGTGACACGTGTGCCTCATCTTCTAATCATTCAAGACAATAGATAGGTTTACACATTGCACCTCTGGCCTTAGGAAGAAACCTCCCCAGTGGATTGGGGACCCCCAGGTCTGACAGGGATGCTTTCATCCCATTAACTACACCCTGACATCTACTGCTGGGCCACCAAGCCTGATGGTGTGACACCTGGCAGCTCAGAAACTCTAGGGTGGAGGCTACTTGGCAAGCTGGGGAAATCTATACCTGGTCACAGTGGACAGTCCATTTCCAAGTTCCCCAAGCCATTACACATCCCATGCACTTCCCATAAGGACTGTTGTATCAGGAATATATGGATGTAAAGCACTCAGCTTTGTACTTGGCAAAGACAGTTACAGATTCCAACATGGTCACCTCTATCACCAAGGCCTTCAGATCTCAGGGGAAGGCTCCCCCTTCCACCAAAGTCCCTGGGGGCCTCTTCAATTTCATTCAATTCACTCTGCACTTACTGAGCACCTACTACAGGCCCAGTCCCCATTAGAGAATAAGAAAGTTGACTAAGGAATGGGAGTATCAGAGAATGGGAATAAGCTGAAGTCATTAAAAACCATCTTTATCAGCACAAACATGACAAAATACATGTACTAAAGCTGCCAAGTCGAAAATCATATAAAAAATTTATACATGTCTCTGAACAGAATTACATTTTAAAAACTCCACTCAAAACCCATAGACAGAATCTCTGGTTGCCTGTGGCTGGCAGGACGAAGGGTTCCTTCCTTCCTTCCGCTTGTCTGTTGTCCTGTTGTCCTGATTTTCTATAATTAGCATGTACTGATTTTGTAATTTGAAAAGACTTAGATCAACTTTTAGAAACTGGTAAATATAAAAGTGAGAAGCGAAATCTTATTATGGTGTTCAAAAATAATTAGTGATTATGAATGAATAATTCATTCCTCCGTGGGAGCCAATGAACACACCGGTAAGCGAGTCCACAGCATATGTCTACCTGACGCACGGATGAAATTCCTTATGTGCAGTTAGTTACACATTAGTATCCACTTAATTAGTGCAGGAGATGCTGGCGAGTGTTTCTTGTGCACTTGGAAGATCCACCAGTGCATCATACGGACGGAACAGTGGATGCAGGCAAACCTCTTACCATCCAGTTCCCACCCACATGCTGATGACTCCCGTCAGAGCTTCTCACCGAGTCAGATTTGCATACTCAAGAAGCTACAGGAAGCCCCACTGGCACCTCGCAGCCAAGAGACCCTACGCTAATGTCTCCTCTTCTTCTAACCATTCCATCACCTATCCTCAGTAGCAGCCTCTGAATCATCCCTGACTCCTCTCCCCACTCCTAAGTCTAATGACCAAGTCCTTCTCCTTGTATGGCCAATGCTGCTGTTTGTTTGGGGGGGGAGGGGGGTGCGCACCCTAATCAGTTTCTTTTTGTCACAGCAACTCCTCCCCACCGCACCCCCAAAGTAGAGCACTGTGCCTGGTACAGTCTACCCTCATTTGCTGAAATGAAAGCAGTAACATTAAAATCCTAATGACCACGAAAAGAACAATGTACCTTGTAGACAGAGAGCAGCTAATTCCACAGCCGTCTCATATGGGCATTTCAATCTTGAAAAAAAGAAAAGAAATTAATTCTACAAATGAACTTTAATACTCACAAGCATATAAAATGTCATTAAAGTCATTAGTCAAAAGGTGGTAATCTTTGGGTGATGATTTTTGTTCTCTGTGGTTTCTATTCTGCTGTCCACATTAAATAATGCAGACAACCAGACTTACATTACATACTTCCCAAAGTCAGTTCCCACCATATGGTGAAACCACCCAATCGAGGTATAGGTTCTACCAACCCTGTCGGCAATTTTAGCGAATTTCAAAAAATGGGGAAGTTTGGGAAGTAGAATGGAAAGCCCTCCCTGTGCCCTATTATTTTTAAACTTATTTTATTTTCACATAGTACATGCGCCTTTCCAAACTGCCTTAAACATTTCTGGAAACGAGGTCATAATATTAAAAATAAGCAGACAGACACAGTTATCTGACAGTGCCAGGACGGCTGGACAGACTCAAGCATTCTAATAAGTGTAACTGAGGCTGAGCCACAGACGTGTATTATTACAAACCAGGATCTCATTCGTATTTCATATTACAAATTTAGTTAGAAAAATAATAATGACGTACATTGGTATAGCACTTCATAGTTTTCAAAGCCTTTTCATCTACATTATCCAATTTGGTGAACGCATGGAGTTTGTAAACCCCTAGATCGGGTGTTGCCAGGGCTCCTATCCCCCATTGGGAAATGAGGAACGGACTGTTGGAGCGCCTTGCCCAAGGTCATCCAGCAGGTAGGGGGCAGCGCTGGGACCAGGATGCCATTCAGCTTTCAAGTACAGTACATGAGGCTGAAGTACATGTAAACTGCAAAGTACTATACAAATGCAGGATGTCACCATTAATATTTTTCCAAACTGAGGACATATATTAGAGTCAAGAGGCCTTCAGTATGAGGAGCACAGTATGGAGGAAGGGAGGGGGGGATAAAAGTACACACACACTCATAATACACACATCAATCAAAGATCTGTATTGCATGGCTGAGTAAGGCAAATGTATACACTGTACAATCTACTTGTTCTATAGCGTACGTTCCACTAAGATTTTCACAGCACATATTCTATGGAGAGTTTGCGAATTCGGAAATCGCATTTTCAATTTCCTTCAGACTGTATTAAAAATCAAAATGTATTCTTGTCAATATCGGGTCCTGCATTTTAGATTCAGTAGTCTTAACTTTTTCATGTACAAAAAAAATAGTCAATATGTATGCTGAAAAATGATGCAACTGTAAAAGCTATGACTGTAAATCTTGTATCTTTAAAATAGATTAATATCGCATGTAAAATCAACCACATGAGTGCCGATGCTCCTTTTCCTCAACAATCACTATGTAGCCAGAGGCCTAGTATTTAAAAACCACTTTTAAGAGGGGCAAAGGAAATGAGATGAGATGTTTAAACCTCTATCAGAATCAGAACATAACTTCTTTACATTATTTAATGCAGATGGTGATGAATGAGACTTTTGGACTGTCCAAATACTTGTAAGTGTATACATACTAATAACGTATCTTGCTTGCAAATACGACAAAAGCCATTATGAATGGGGCAGTGATGTGATCAGGGAGAGAATTATTCCCAAATACACATCACTTAAGATATTAAATGCTCTTGGAAATGCTTCAAGCCATAGAGTAATCATTTAAAATAAGATGATGACAGTGATACAAGTATTAGACTCACTTTACAATGCCTGGTGTACTTTTTTTGAATTTTGAAAAGGAACAAGGGTAAGAGAGTTAAAAAAAAACAAAACAGTGAATTATTTAGAAATATACTATGTTCTATCCTGGGTTTAAGAATTAGAACAAAAACGTACTTACTTTCCTGAAAGAATGTCATGCCTGAGTTGTAAAACAAACAGGTACCTGACAAACATATATAAAAGTCAACAGAGGGTCACTCTTCCCCAGCCGCTTCCGATCCCGACTGCCCAGCATGAACCCCGCCCCGCACGCCCCGATTTCTGCATTGTAAGAAGGGAGTCCAACTCAAATGAGAACTGCGGTGGAAGCAGCTCCTCCTGAGTCTCCAGGAAGGCAGCCCGGGACCTAGCTGGGAAGGCGAGTGCATGTGCGAACTTGCAAGATACTTGGAGGATGGACATGGAACGCGGCACGGTCCAGTGAGGCCTCCGCGCCCCCTCTGGGACCGGGAGAGAGCCAAACACTGCACGAGCGCTCACGCAGCAGGCATGCGACTCGGCCAACCAAATGGGCAGGTGCAGCCACCGCACGTGGCCCTCGGCCCGCCCCGCAGGGGAGTCCAGAAAGGCTGCTCCTGCCTGTATCAAAGAGTTTACAGCTGATTGCAGTTAGCAACTGCTTACGCCTTTTTTCCTGATGCAGTTTAACTGCAGACTCCGTCTTTTAAAAAAAATGCACATGTGAGCACACGCACACAGACACACACACAAATCCTGGAGCTAGACTGCAGCTGCTGGTTACACGAGTAACAAAAAATGGGGAAGAAGGCAGCACATAACACAAGTGGGGTTCACTTAAGTAAAAAAATGAAGTGTCTTGGTCTAAACAAGCAGTTTCTTGCCAGATGCACGTGGGCATCGAAACCACTTTACAGTGCTTTGTAAAAACAAAAAGGCTGCCCACGCTCCCCACTCCACACAGAGGGAGTCAGTCTCACACACAAGGACTGGTCCCCAGGAATCTGATTTGCTCAAAAACTTGCCAGGTGTTTCTGATTCACACACTCTGGTTAAGAATCACTGGCTTTGATGACAGCTAGAAGCAGTGTGTTTCATAAAGGATTGAAGGAAAATACTAGATTAATTTAGTTTGAACTTTGAAAACAATGCAGATAAGTCACCCTCTGTGGAATGGATGTAGGACAATGTGGGTGACCCAAAAATCAATGGGGAGCCTGAAGGTTCTATTCCAGAATGTTCCTGCCCGAGACCGGTGCTTAACCACCAGTGAATTAAGTACTCCCCATCAAAAAGGACACAAAGTGACATGCGCAAACTCCCAACTCCCACAGGAAAACCTAACTACAGGAGCTCCATGGTTTCTCCAATGAGGAGGGGGGGTGAAGGGTGATAAGCAGTCTTTAACGTGTTGCTCAGGTGGTCACCTCCAAGCTAGTGGTCAACTGTGGGCTACTCAATAGCTTACATGTCACCACTCCTGTCCATTACAGACAATGACAAGGAGGTTCTGGGGACCTCAAGTATGACTAGGTAGAGAATCTCACTGATAAAAGGGTGGCTGAAGGGAAACTCCACAGTTAAAATGTTTTTAGGTCTCTTTTGCTTCTACACTGTTTCTGAAGTCTGGTAGACATAGGAAGGCTCACTATAAAAGAAATTCAGTGGGGCTGAAAGATAACATAAAGAGATTCTAACAACTCTGATACTGTGACAATCAAGGGAATATTTTGCAGTCCCTTAAAAAAATAAGATGGCAATTTTGGACTGAAAAAAACACTCTTCCAATCCCTGTTTTCCCTTTTCTTACCGGACACAAAAATAAAGTGCCATAGAACAACTAACCAAATTACCCAAGGTCCAACCAAACAGAAATGTGACAAGAAAATAAATCTTTTCACTTTGATTCACTAAGAAAAAGGTCAAATTAAGCAAAGTGTGGATTTTCGACAGAATACAGAGATAAGCCCTGGCAAGGTGCTAATAACTCTTGCTCGGAATATCAAGACAGCAGAGTGAGGGGGAGGCAAACCCACAGTTTAGAAGACCCATAAATTATACGTGAGGCAAGTGCTATGGGGCGGGGGGCATCTCATTCTGCATTTTGTCCTACCTTGTAAACTCTTCACGAAGGTTGTTCGGTTCTGAAGAATAATATTTAACTCGAAAGTGCAAAGCATAAGCAGGTCCAACTAAACATTTGGAGATGGCAGGTTGAAGAGGTTTTCCCCCAATTTTGAAGATCACGGAATAGACAAAAGGAAAGACACATTAAGTCTATTAACACATTCACCCCTACACCAGGAGGGCACACAAAGCCAGTAAATTCTTTTCAACCCTAGTTTGGAAAACTAAAAGGAATTGTGTCAGCAAAGATGGCTTAGCTGGGCACCTCATTCTGGAGGGAAACCGTGATCATCTAGGTGAATTACAAACAGCTGACATTTTACTCTCACCCGATTGCCACGATGCTCTGAACCAATACTAACTTTTTACAAAATACTACTGTGCTAAAGGAAAGTGACACATAAACAGCCAAGTGTTCTGTAACCTAAATACACAGTAAAAATACCCTATTAAATTCTTAAAAAATGACCCAGGCATGCACAACACTGAAGAAACGCGGTACCATACTTGGAACATCAGAGCTGGACCTGACTCACAGAGCTCTCCTGTGCCCCCATTCCCTGAGTCTGCTCTACGACTCATCAGAAAGGACTGTGAGATGCGTCAAGTCCCGTTTCTGAGCCACAGATTAATCCGTTCTCATTGGCAGGGGTGTCTGATTTCAAATCGAGAGCATAGTCTGTTTTTTAATATCTAATAAAAACTCTTGTTCAAATTTTAAACTCAAACACGTGGCCAGCTTTTAAGAAATTAAAAATCATCTGCTTAAAATGGAATCTATTTAAATAATGCTCCCAAGTTCTAAAGGAAACAGGACACCTCAAAACACTGGCCAAGGAGTTTACTTTCCGATAAAAGAAAGAGACGAGCAGGCTAAATGCCGCTTACTTACTTTTCATCTGCTTTTTTATGGGTTTGGAATGATCCAGCCAGTGCTGAAAGAAAGAAAAGATTTCTTTAGGAATAGTGCATCAGCAGGAGTACACAGACCCAAGTTACCCTCCCTCCACAAACCGTAGTAATTCCACCCGTAAAAACCAGAGGCTGGACCGGATCACAGGTTCTTAAGCTAGGGATCTGCAAACTGCTTGGGAAGGTATACAAAAATCTGTGCTTATGCACACAGTGCATTTTTTTCTGGGGAAAGAACCATAGCTTCCAGAAGCTTTTCAAATAGGAGCCTGAAAGAACTTAAAACCCTTTAACTAACTGATCTGTAAAGTCCCTTCTCGTCAGTGGAGCTACTGCTTCTTCCTTCCGAGTTCCTCAAGTTACAATCAATCTTCCCCAATTATTCCGAGTCTCGATGAATCCAGTGAAGACTACAAATAGCACCGCCGAGAGTCCCTGACCACACGCTGGTCTTGTCGCTGACACCCTAAACTCTAAAATGATAAAGCCAGAATTCACGGCCCCTTTATTCTTTTGCCATGAAAATGACCCACACTGGAGATGGAAAGACAGGCAGGGACGTGCCTGAGAAACTTTTGCTCTTTGCTCTGGTGACTGAAGGCAATTCGACTTCCTCTGGTTTTCACCAGGACAACAACTTCAGCCTATTCATCAAAGGCGATCACAAAGCCATTCCCCTCATAGGAGTTTTCTCTAATGTCAAGGTTGTTGAGACCATGGTCCCGATGAGCCTCAAGAGCTTAACTTCCAGGGAGAAGACACTGGGAACCTAACACTAAGAGCAGATGTGAACTAAGCCGCGGCAGGCGGGGTCCTCGGTTCATGTCACCCTTTATTTCCATGGTTCCTGTGCCGGGCGTAGAGCGTGGCGCCCAGCAGGCCCTTATCAGATTCTTGAGACATCAATAAATGTCCAGCATCACTTATTTTAAATGAGGCAAACGTTTCCCATCACTTTCCGTAAACTGGATACTCGCTGGAACATCACTGTTAGAGCCACAGCTGGAACGACCCGGCCACAGGGGGTCTCTCGCCAGCTGCAGAGGTCATCCTGCTGCCTGTCGGATGGGCACGGACGGGGCTCAGTTGGTACGTGCCCTGCCCCTCGCCAAAGAGCCCATCAGGGCTGTGCGGGAGGAGCGGGAAAGGACACACAGAAGCAAGGAGCAGATGACTTACAACACAATACGCTGTGAGCAGTGCCGTGGGAGGACGTGGGCTCGGCCGGCTCCACTCCCCTCGCCACTCCCCCGCTAGGCGACCGTGGCACAGCAGCAGCAGATCACGGTGGCCGGATGCCTATCTCACAGGCACACGTGCAGGGTGCTTTCTCTCACTGTGACCGGCTTTGAATTGGAAATGTCCTAAATGCCCACCAACAAAGGCGGACTGAAAAATGGCTCATCCATACAATGAAATACTATTCTGCCTCTGAAACTGATGTGGGCCTACAGTTATTGATGTGGCGAGAGACCCAGAGCAAAATGCCAGATGACAACACTTGGGTAGGATCCCATTTATACAAAAATTAGTATTTTCTATCCAGATATGTCCAGAAAGGTTTCGAGGGGTTCTTTTTGGATACAGGGCTGTGAATACTGTTTACTCTTTTCTGTTTTCACTTTGAAGCATAAAATGTTTTACTTTTACTGAGAATATTATTTTCATAGGGGTAGGCACTTCCACTGCTCATTCATTTATTTGCCTATCAAGCAGTTTTTGATGATTAGTTTGCCTCATTAGAATTAGGTCTCGCTGCAGCCCTCAACCAGCCTGAAAACCCTGGACCTCAGCCCCCTGGGAGGAGAACAGATACAGACTTGATGAAAGTATTATCATATTTACTTTCCTGCCAAAGTAAGTATCAAGCTAATGGCTATGACTAAACCTGTTCTTCTCACTTTCAAATGAATTCACATTACCAGACAAAGAAAGTTCTCCCTGCAAATGGCTTTCTAAGCTTATTAGCCCAGAGGCTCAGAGCTTAAAGGAGCTTGTCCTATTTCTTTCTTATCTCAAGTCTTGTCACATTTTGGATAGAACAAGTTTAAGCCCACTATTCCTCCTCCTCTATTATCAAACTCTAATCTTGATGCAAGTCCAACCTGTGTTGTTTCCTTAGGTGTGGTTTTCAACCCTGGCTGAGCATTACACTCAGGTCCCACCCAAGGTCCATTAAACAGAACCTCAGAGCATGAGTGTTTTTTTAAAGATGTCCAGTGTGCCCGTTAAATATTTAGTGCTAAAGTTCTCCCACATCCTCTCCCACCCAGGAATGAATGAGTCCTAATGATCTTGGGAATCTTGAAATATCCACGACCCCTTCTGAAAACTGCTCTGAGCTCTGTAAAATCTCAATTTCACAGTTTACCGGCCAAATGTCTATGGCCAGTGTTAACTCAGACAGATCATGGCTAGATGCTTCAACTGGACAGCAGGCTGCTTTTCCCTCTGGACATACTGCTTAAGGAGCTCCCTCCCTTACCCATGCAGGCTGGCTCCATCCTTCCTGCCCAGCAACTGCCTGGAGCCCTGCCCAGAGCAGGACCTGACAGGATGGAGGCCTGTGAAAAGTCTGGGGCTTGCTAAGCTGGGAAAGGAATCAGAAACAGCTCCATTTTTAAAGCTCCTTGACCCTGTGGCGTTCAGATCAGGCTTGCCTGCCTGCATCAGAGGCGATTAGAAACCCAGCCACCATCCTAAAATGAGAGATGATAAAACCTATCTTGTATCCAACCAGTTCAAAATGACCTAACTTTCTTCTTAGCTGTGGGAGCTGACCAGACTCTGATCACTCGTATTTTATCCCTCGTGATGAACAGCCAGGCACTAAGGCCCTACGTGGCCTTTAGTAAATGGTATCCTGGGTTTGGGTGGGAGGCCTGTAGCAGCAGGACCTGTCTCAGATGTTCACCTGCATCCTGGCTAAATATAGCCAGGCGGCCTGTCAGCAAAGGCCCCGGCAAACGGCTCCAGCCCTCCTAACAGACCATTAAAGCAATCACTGGAAACAGACAGGTGTGCTTCTGAGTTCAAAGGGCAAGAATTAACTCAAATACTCTAACTTGTGTTAGAAAGGGGGTTTCTGATCTGAATTTCTCATCCAAGTCCACTGGGCAAAACCCTTCCCGTGAATCATGATGTGAGATGACCTGGCAGAGCCCATCTCTTCTAAGAGTACAACTGTTCTGGACTATGACACCCATGAGGCTGGCTGTAGAATGTCACTGCCTAAGATCGTGTGACTGGCACCTTGAAACGTGTGTGGGCTTGGGGCGGGAAGATGTCTTGTGAGACTGAACCCTTAACCTGTGGGATCTGAAGCTATCTTCAGGCAGACAGTGTCAGAATTCATTATTCCTTAGGCCTCAGAGCAGATGAAGGAGGCCGTGGAGAGGGCGCCTGAGGTGCCCAGGATCACGGTGCTAATGAGGAGGAGGCAGGAGTCTAACTCTGGCTATGTTGGCAGCCAGTGCCCTGGGTCTCCACATCACACACTGGCTGAAGTGCCTTCTCCGCCCATGGGAGGGATCTCTCCTCCTCCACACCATTCACACCAGCTACCTGAGGTTTCCTTGGGGATTCGCCTACATCAACTGCAGGGACCCCTTTATCAACAGCTTCCCATTCAGTACCAGTAATTGCACACAGGCAGGAAAAAGCTCGCCCTGCTGGCATTCAGGAACAGGCTGCTGGGAGGCCCACAACATTTCTTGAACTGTTTCACACTTATTTGTACTAAAATGGAAGGAGGCAGATCAGGTTTCAGGTCCTAGCTCTGCCACTCACGTAGTGTGTGGCTAGGAGCAAGAACCCCCAAGACTCAGTTTCCTCATCTGTGCACTGAGCTCACCCCTGGCACACTGTCTGAAGAATCAGTTGAGTGTCCGTGGAAACTATAATGAACCATTCAAATGGAGGGACAGTGACTTATCCCGCTATTAATGTTTATACCCTTCCTCTTCCCCCCCAGGTACATCGCAAGTGGTAGGAATGCTCAGTAGTGTCCACAAAAGTGGCAAATTCCAAATTCGATGGCACTCCAGGGACACTCCAGGCAATCTCATCAGCAGGAAGTGGTAATAGTCCCCGAGGCATCCCCTCAGCTGTTCCAGCAGACACCACGTGTGTGTCACCATTATCTCGCAGCCCTGGGCCTCTTATCACCCATCTCCCCAATTCCACATCACAAAGGCCAGAAGAAAAACATCTCGGGAGGCTTGAAAGGCCCAAATCACCTTTTCTACATTTCCTGCTGTAAAACATATTACCATACAATGTTCCCTTTTCATGCTGGGAGGGGCTGAGGAATGGACTTACGATGGCCACACCTACCCCTGGCACACCTGCCCCAGTGATGGAGAGGGCCACTCCAGCTTGATGAGGTTATTACCCCTGCCCCACACCCCGCTGCTCCTCTCCGCCTGGCGGTCCTCTCATCCTCTGCGGCCTACCCCATGCTCCCCTCCCTGTGACACCTCGTTCCTCTCATCCATGATACTTAGGCAGCCGTCCTCCAGGCTCCCAAACTGGAGGACTGAAGCCACTCTATTCCAAGGACTACTTGTCTGGCTCCCTCACCAGGATGTGGCGGGGGGACAGTGCCCAGCCTGCTTCTGCACCACAGAGCCGGGCACTGAGTAAGCTCCAAGTTAAAGTTTGCCAAACAGCTCCTGACTGAATGTTCTCTTTCAGCACATGTGCGTGCGTGAGCGTGATGTTACCAGGTGCATGGAGCCCAGTGGAAAGTGCTGGGCTTTGGAATGAGGCCAGGTTCTAAATGGTACCTCTGTCCCTTACTTTAACTTTTACAAGGTTCCTAGTGTCTCTGAGCCTCAGCTTCACCGTTTGTAAAATGGGTCTGTCCCTTGGTCGGCTTTACAGATGAGTGATGAAAGCCTTTAGTTAAGATGCCTCACTCAGAGCTGGGGAACTCAGGAACCAGCAGTTATCTCACCAGGCTGTGAGGTGCAGGCCAGAGCCTAGGCTCTTGCAAGAAAGCTTTGGTATGCAAAATTAGAACCCTTGCCCCCGCTTGGACCTGTTTAAAAGTGAAATCTACAGTGAGGGTTCCCAGGTAGACTTCCCACCTTGATATGGAAAAGGAAACAGGAGGTCCCAGCCCAATAGCTAAAAACTGGAGATGTCAATAGACTCTGACCTTGCTTCAGGGATGGGCAGGGCACTATGGAAACCAGGCTTGGCTCTGCAGGGAGCTGGGCTAGAAGCTGGTTACTTACTCNGCTTGGACCTGTTTAAAAGTGAAATCTACAGTGAGGGTTCCCAGGTAGACTTCCCACCTTGATATGGAAAAGGAAACAGGAGGTCCCAGCCCAACAGCTAAAAACTGGAGATGTCAATAGACTCTGACCTTGCTTCAGGGATGGGCAGGGCACTATGGAAACCAGGCTTGGCTCTGCAGGGAGCTGGGCTAGAAGCTGGTTACTTAGAGAGCTGTGCCAAGAGCCCTGCCTCAGCCAGCCCTCTGATTTGCATGTTAGGGGCTGGACAGGGGTGTCAGTCTTTGCAGGAGCCTCAATTATGGAATAATAAATAAGCCAATGGCCAACTGGACCATTCGTTCCCTCCAGGCCCCCATCTATTACCCCACTGTCCCCAGAAACACACCTGCCACAACATCCAGTCACCTGCCACCAATCACACTGTCCCAGGTCCTCAGAAAAATCAGTGATACTCTAGAAGCCAAAGGGTCCTTGTCTAAATTGCTATGGTTTCTTCCACCAGCGAGACGGCCTTGCAGGTTCCAGCTAATCTCAGCATGTGCCCTCTGGGGCTGTACTGACTTCTAGTCCCCTTCAGGATAACCAGCTAAGAAGAGGAGACCCACACCCACGTCAAACTGCAAAACCCCTTCTGCTCCCTTAACTCACTAAGCCCCTCAACTTCCCTGTGAAACAGATGTCACCACCTCCACTGCACAGTGACGAAGACAAGAGGCTCAAAGAGCACAGTGTACCGGGAAGAGCACTTGAAACTGAAATCGTAAAAACTGGGCTTGAGTCGAGCTGTGCTTCTTGACCTGCCCAGGTCTACGGCTTTGGGTTCACTATCCAGAAGATGGCAATACTTGACCGAAGGCTCCTAAGGTCTCTTCTGGGGCAGTGACTAAGGTTCTCGGGTGTCTGTCTTGGTACCAAGAGCCACCAAGTTAAGAGGAAGTCCTAAGTCTTAGGGTCTAATCAGAAAAGTTTTGTTTATATACACAAATAATGAACCCAAGGCCAAAGAGCAAGCTGCCGTAGAAGGCAAAATAAGCTCAGTGGTGTGTACACAGAGGAGGAAAATGCTCTGAGAGCTTGGGACGTGCTCTGTGACAGGGTGTCACCTACGACGGTCTTGAAGGATGACCAGAAGGTGAAACAAGGTGAGAAAGGGCAATCCAGGAGGGGAACCAGGACCAACAAAGGCACAGAGGTGCGCGCAGACATGACAGCCACCAGGACTGTAAGGAGCCCAGCTTAGAAATCACACTGATGGGGGCCAGGGGGTGGGAGGGGCTGTAACTCTCCTCGGTCCTGGAGTTGGGCAGATGAAGACCCTGCACCTGCCACTGTGGGGAAGAAAAGCACATCCTGTTCACAGAGCCGGATCCTGGAAAGGCCTTAGGGCCTGCGGAGTATTAGCATCTGCAGGTGTCTGGCCTGGGAAGGAAGCCTGTATCCTGCTGTGAACACACCTCCTGCCGCACAGTGACAGGGCACCGGCGGACCGGACAGCAGGCAGCCAAGTGAGCAGATGTCCACAGTAATGGAGTCATATCCTTGGATTTCTGGGAATCCAAGTGGCTGGAGAGGGGTCATCTGGGGATGTGGACATGGCAACAGGCACTTGGCTCTAGTGGCAGAAATGGCAGAGATCGTTTCCCTTCTAACTAGAAAAGATGTGTAGGGCAGACATGCCTGCCTCCTCTTTAGATTCAGAATCACTGAACATTAAACTAGAAGAGCTTCTGGGAGAATAGGTTTAAGAACCCATTTTACAGATGAGGAAACTGAGACCAAGGAAGAAAAGGTGACTTGTCTAAAACCCACCAAATGAGTGGGGGGCAGAGCCAAAAACAAGGTCCAGATGTGACTGCTAGTCCAGGGCCACAGATATGCTGAAGTCAAAACTAGCACATAGATATTACACGGGTGAAGACCACAAAGAGAAGGCAGAATGGAGATGAGCTTCAGGGAAGAGGGGGGCTGACGAGTGTCAGATGCTGGGGACAGAAAGGAGAACTCTAAATCTGGCGCTCAGGGGAGCAACTGGAGATGAAACTGTCCACGCAGGTGTGGGGAGTAAATGCTGGAGAAAGGTATACTCCCCTAAGACAAAATGGCAAGAAGAACTGGTGTATCTTAAGGGAAAGAAAAAACAAGGAGTTTTTGCTAAATGAGCTTAGTCTTCTCAGCAGGAGGTAAGGCCAACTTCGAGGACAGTCTTTGTGGGGCCAGATTATATGTCTGTGGTCAAGATGCAGAAGGGAACTGTGGGGCACGTAAGAGTCCATTAGGGCCCTGGCCAGTGTGGCTCAGTTGGTTGGCGCATCGGCCCTGCACCAAAAGGTTGCCGGTTCAATTCCCGGGCAAGGCACACGCCCTAGTTGTGGGTTCGGTCCCTGGTTGGGGCGCGTGCAGGAGGCAACCAGTGGATGTTTCTCTCTCACATCTCTCTCGCTCTCCCTTTCTCTTCCCTCCACCGTTTCCTCGCTCTTCCTTAAAAAAAAACAACAAAAAAAAACCCAAATCAATAAAAACATATTTAGAGGGAAAAAGAAGAGTCCATTAGGGGCTAACGAGGCTCCAGAAGCAGCTTGGGGGGTTGGACTTCTCCGAACCTGTGATCTGTGCTGGTGCCAACAGGTGCCAACAGGCACAGCCCGTGACTCTCCAGCAATGCTTGGCAGCCCAGGAGAAGCAGCCGAGGAAACAGATGGGCCTGAATGTCAAGGGGAAGCCCAGGGACAGTCATGGGGGCAGGAGAATCAAAAGGAAGTGATGACACAGGTGAGATGGCTGAGACTTTGCCAAGCCGGGAAGAAGGCAAGGGCAGGAGGAGGCAGGAGGGGATCGTCAAGAGCCAAGGGCAAATGCAGAGGGACTGGATAGGTGGAATCAAGGGACGTTATCATGGAATGGGGAATAACAGAATTCCGGATCTTGGAGTGGTGACGAGACCCGGAGTGCATCCGGGGGAGTTTTGATCAGATGAAGGTTCCATGAGAGGAAACAGTGCCCAGAATATTTAGAAGGATCAACAATTTGAATTCTGAGGTTGCCAAAGGCCTTGAGGGGTGGGGAAGACAGTGCTGAGGTCAGAGGGCAAGGCACTGGGTAGCCCAACCTCAAAAAAAACAGAATTGGACAGGGAGATGGAAAGAGAAGGGCTAGTCTGCCCCTCCCCAGGGCCGGGTGGGCCGGAGTGAGTGTCTGCAGCTGGGAAACGGAGAAGAATCGGGACCATTAACTCAAAGAGGTGGCTGGAGTGTTCACAGCAACAGTCGGGGGTGAGGGGAAGGGCTGGATGTCCTGAAGGTGCAGAGGGGCCATCCAGTGGGAGCAGGGGGGAGGGTCTGACCAGGAGGCACTGGAACAGGACGTATTATCTGCGGCCTCAGCATCTCACTAACAGTCACAGGCGGACTCAACTCCCAGGCATCGATTTTGGGCATCTCCACTTTACAACTGTCGCGTGGGGCGCCCAGGAAGTATCTAAAAAGCATCTTTCAGATAGAAAGGTTTCACCAAGTATGAGGAGCTCCTGGTCTCTAGCTTAAACATCTCCTGTCAGGGAACCCACCTTTTCCCACACTGTCTAAGTAAGATAACACCGCCCCCTTACTCCGCCTGTCCCCTTACTCTGCTTTGTATTTCTTAACACTTACTACTCCCTGTCATATAATATTTGTGTTCACTGCTTTATCCATAGTGCTTAGAATGGCGCCTTGCATAAGAGGAACTCACTAAATATTTTTAAGATTGCTGAATAAATTACCTTCAAAACCCAAAGCTAGATTTTGTTGGGGAGGGAGACCCTGATGTCATTCCTGCTTTCTAAATGAGGGACTCTGAGCTGCGTCGAGTTGACTCACTCCAGCATCTCCTCTGTGAACACTTCTGTCTCAGGCAAAGCAAGGGAAGTCTTTGCTGAGCTAACACAACCTCCTGGAGCCTGCAAGATGGTTCCAGGCAATGCCAAGACCTGCTCCGGCTGCCCAGCCCTGAGTCTGGCTGGGACTCAGAGTGTTCACAGCACCTGCTCTCCACACCCAGCCAGACTTCACCAGAGGATGGTGGTGCAGTTTCTTCTGCTGGTTAAAAATAAAAGCAGCCCCACTGAGAGAATTCCTACGATGATTTCTACCTACTCCAGAAGTGTGCCTCACTGTATCCCTATGCTTGGAAATGCCTCCCTAATGCATCCCCACGCGCATCCCCTTTCTCTCTTCCTCTCCCAGTTGTTGGCCACAGGGTGGGGCATCGTGGAAGCATTTCACTTGGGCATTGTTACCACCATCCCGGTGTTCGTCATGGCAACAATATCACAGTTTGACTCCTATGCTTCTCTACCAATTTCTAGCAACTGTGGATCTGCGATTAGTGATGGAAAGCTAACCTGTCCTGAAAGGAAATCAGAGGGATACATACCGCGACCTGGGCAGAGTCGAGGAACTGGAGGCCGAAGTAGTCTGTCTCCACGAGGTCCAAGTGGTACACGATCTGATCAAACAGGTCCTGGCCTTTGGCGTGTTTCTGGAAGGCAAATGGGTAAACGAAAATTTAGGACGTGACAGCTAGGTAAGAAACGAAAAGATTTTTAAAAATCACTTTTCTCTGTATATTGCATACAGGTACGTGTCACAGTATGCAAAAATTTAAAAATTTTAATTGGCTTTAATATAATACAAAGTCATGATTAAATCTAAGCATTCCCAATGACCAAAAAACAACCACCACCAAACAACAACTTCATAGGATGACAGGGAACCAACACCTTATCGTGAAAACTGGTAAGTAGGGGAGTGGGGATCAAGCACTGATCCTGCCTTTACTGTAGCCCTGGGTAATCAAAGAGACAGCATATCTAAGAATTAACTCAAAGTGGATCAAAGACCTGACTGTAAGAGCTGAAAGTATGAAACTCTCAGAATAAAACAGAGGCACGAATCTTCATGACCTTGGATTAGGCAATGGTTTCTTAGATGTGAAACTAAAAGCACAAGCAACAAAAGAAAAAATAAACTGGACATCATCAAAATGTAAAAAATGTTGTGCTTCAAAGGACACGAAGCCATCAAGAAAGTACCAAGACAACCCAGAATGAGAGAGTTTTGCAAATCACATGTCTGATAAGGGACTTCTTTCTAGAATAAAGAACTATTACAACTCAATCATGAAAAAGCAAACATTCAATTAAAGAATGAGCAGAGGACAGAGATAGGTGGTTCTCCATAAGCCCAATAAGCACATGAAAAGGTGCTCAGCATCATTAGTCATTAGGGAAATGCAAATCAGACACCACTTCACACCCACTAGGAAAGCTGTAACAAAAAGGACAGATAACAGCGTTGGAGACATTGGAACCCTCACGTACTGCTGATGGGAATGAAAAACTATGCAGCCACTTTGGGAAACAGCCTAACAGGTCCTCAAACAGTAAAACATAGTTTCCATCTGACTCAGCAATTCCGCTCCTTAGGTATATATTCAAAAAACATGAGAACATGATGTTCACACAGAAACCTGTACAAAGCCCTTCACAGCAGCACTATGCATAACAGCCCCAAAGTGGAAGCAACCCAAATGTCTATTAATTGACGAGTGGATAAACTGCAGTCTTCTCCATAAAACAGAAATAGTATTTCACCATGGAAAGGAGTGAAGTTCTCACACGTGCAACACGAATGGACCTTGAAAATGGAAAACTAAGTGAAAGAAGCCAGTTACAAAGGACCACGCAGTCCATGAAATGTCCAGAATAGGTCAATCTAGAGAGAGAAATTAGAGTAGTGGTTGCTTAGGGCTGCAGGGTTTGTAAGGTGACTGCTAAGGTGCATAGAGTGGTGTTTTTTTTGGGGGGGAGGGCATGGGTTAATGGCATGTTCTAAGATTGATGGTGTTAACAAATGCACAACTCTAAGAATATACTAAAAAGTCACTGGATTGTACACTCCAGACAGGTGAACTGTATCGCATGTGATTCTCAATGAAACTATGGAAAATGGTAGATGGGCAGAGTTTTTCATTGATTTCCAACAAATAAATGAAGAAGGAAAAAACAATTGCAAAATCACAACTCTGCAACTTCTGCCGAATGGTAGGCGCTACGCATTGGGCACCAGTGGCCGCTAGCGTCCCAAAGGCAGACAACCAGCCGTTGAGTACCTCCTGGTGACAAACACCCCACCACCCAACATGACCTCGCTCCCCTTGCCTCTCTTTCCACAGCACTAGATGCAACTGCCAATGGCAGGAAACACAGAGCAATGTTCTAAATGACCTGGGGTTGCGATCAGCAACACCCGGACTGTGGGAAATTCTAGAACTCTCAGGACACACAGCCCAGTTTCTTCAACAAATATAGAAAAAAGAGACGACGGGGACACCTACAGATTAAAAGACCTAAAAGATATATTTTTTAAAGCATAAGTTTTTATTGATTTGAGAGAGAGGAAGGGAGAGGGAGGGAGAGAAACATCAATGTGAGTGAAACACATCGATCGGTTACCTCCGGTATGCACCTTGGGGACCAAACCTGAAACCTGGGCATGTGCCCTGACCGGAAATTGAACCAGTGACCTTTTGGTACAAGGGGCCACACTCAACCATCTAAGCCACACAGGCCAGGGCAAAAGACATTTTTTTAAGGCAAAACTGAACTGCAATGATCAGGGATGAACACTTGGGTGACGAAACTTGGAAAGAGAGTAAAGAAGTGATTACAATACAGTCAGGGTAGCTGTTACTCTTGGGGCCAGGAGGGGATGTGACTGGGAGGGGATGTGACCGAGATGGGCACAGGGTGGACTTCCAGCTGTCTGGCAGGGTTCCAGCTCTTGACGTGGGTGGGGGTACCAGGCCATCTGCCTTCTAGTAATTCATTAAACTATACTTCTGTTTTATTTGTACATCTGTAACTGTGGTATACAAAACAACAACAAAAAGAACAAAAATCCAAACAAAGTCACTAGATTTCAGCCTCTTTCCTTCCTGGAAACACTCCTCTGCAGGCAACAACATAACAGAGGCGGATGGCTCGATGCACAAAGACATTCTAACCTACAGGGTTCTCGGAGAAATAAGGGAGTGGGGGGCAAAAAAGGGGAAACAACTGAACTCCAATCACAAGCACACAGAACTGGGGCCACCAAAACCCCAGCCAGGATACTGTTCAGCCATTATAAAATTATAGAAAATTATGAAGATGAGATAGAAATTAGGAAACTTCTTTGACAACATTCGATACACAGGCTAGACAGGAAGAAGAAGCTGTGATTCCAACACATAAAAATATGCATGCGTTGTTCGTGCATTGCTCGATAAAGACGGGAAATCTGCAAAAACTAAAATAGCTGCGCTCGGATGGGGAAACTATGGCTGGTTTCCTTCCCAAGTTTTCACACTGATCCTTTGGCAGTTGTTGGACAGCAAATGCAAGTATTTTGTTTTGTTTTTAAAATCACCATTCTGGCACTCTTCCTCCTTGCCCGTAACAATCCACCTTCTATTTTTTCCTATTAGGATCCGGTGCTATCGGCCCTACGCAGCATTTAGTATCACGGTGCCAATGATTAAAGAATTGGGCTGGGAGGGAGCAAGAGACCCGTGCTCTAGTCCCAGATGCACCACTAACAGCGACCTGAAACCACTCATAATTCCCCCAAATCCATGTGGCCATCCGGGGCTTCTCCTGCAGCTGCAAATTGGACATGGCACCCTGAATATACAGGGCCACCCAAACGCAACTGGCCCCAAAGCCACCTCCTCGCCTCACCTGGGTCTCTCTATTTTGGCTCAGGGCTCACCACTGAGGAATGTAATTTTAATATACACAGAGTATGAACTGAAAAAACACGGTTCCGCACATGGCAAATGAGGGAGGCTAGCCCAAGTTTGTGTCTAGGGCATTCCAAATCTTACTTTTCTCATGTGTTTCTAAAATGGCTCTTAATTTAGAAAGCGCGCATGGTGAAGGTTGGAACAAGAACCCTTCTAGGGGTGGTGAGTGCTTCTGCCAAGCCAGATCGGCTCCTCTCCTGGCAGACCCCCAGCTGGACTTAAAGGTGGCAGACAATGGGTCTGCTGGATAGGAAATACCACTTTTACTCACTCAGAAACATTTCCCCCCACTTAGCTCTGTTCACCAAGTATGCTCTTTGGTCTCCTGCTGGAAAAGAGAATTCCTAATGTCCCTTTCCAGCTCTCAAAAGAAGCTGGTAAAATTATGAGGGCTGGAATAGAGGGGTCCTCAGAACAGAGGTCTCAGTGGGTTAGGGGTGGGACGAAGATGGGAGGGTCAAGGCCACAGCCCTTGAACCCACCATCTCTCTCTCATTCCTCCCAGCCTGCAGAGTGGCTGCTCTCAACACAGAGAAGGCTCCAGATAACTCGCCTGCGCTGCCAGCTAGGACAGCCCACCTGGGGCAGCCCCTAGAAGTCCACAAACTATCATCTCAGGCTTAGCCCAAACATTCCCTCCTTCAGCAGCTCCCCCTGCCCCAGGAAATAGGTGCCCCTCCTCTGTGTTCCCACAAGCAGGTATATACACACTTATCACACCGCACTGCAGTTGCCTGTGCTCCTGACACTGACTTCAGACTGAATACTCCCTGAGAGCAGAGCCAACTATGTGTTAATTTGAGTACCACCTCCTCCATCCCAAAGGACAGTGTCAGGTTGGCACACAGCAGGCGCTCGATAAATGTCTATATGCTGCATGGATGGAAGAATGGAAGAATGGAAGGATGAATGGGAGGGAGGGAGTGAAGGGGGGGGGGTGTCTGGTGCCAAGAAACAAGCCTTCCGGATGGTCCGTGCAGACAACAGACTGTTATTTCACAAGTGGCAGGCCTGAAAAATGAGAATACCCTCATTAAAACCTTTTCAAATTAAGTATTCCAGGAACAAGCACCTAGGGAACCAGGCTGCACTTCCAAGGCTATTTGCCTCAACACATTTGTGTGGCTGTTCTGTGAAATGCTGTCTTGTGGTTACAATAGGAGATCTGTCAATGTGACAAGACTGGAAGCCACTCCTTGTCAGCTCATTGTCAACTAGGTCTCCCCCTCTGTGACAAATCCATTCATTCAACAAATATTTACCGATTGCTCATCAAATGCCAGCCATTATTCTAGGTGTTGGCGTACACTGGGGTCACGAAGTGTGGAAGGGAGTAGCTACAGGAAGCCCTCACCAAATAAGTCCTTCCCAGAAAGCAAAGTCATCCAAATCAGAAGCAGCAATACCACTATCTCCCTGCCTTCCTAAGCAGAACATAGAAAATGTAAAACCTTACTAGGTCCAGACCACCCCTCTGGAATCCCATGATGCTCCATCTCCTTTAAGGCCCATGGCGCGAGTGGCCCCGGGGACAGCAGGGCAGACAAGCAGTACCACAACACCTACTTTTTCTTCCTCCCATCGCAACACATCACTTTTCACGAGGACCAACAACCAGTGGTTTTGAGTCAACATGTCTGTCTGCAGCAGCTCCTTCTGATCTGAGAGCAGCTATAAATAACCAAACCCATTAA